GAGAGAGAGAGAGAGAGAGAGAGAGAGAGGTTACTGTTTAACCATAAAAAACAAAACAAAACAAAACAAATGAATTGGAACAGATTGCCTGACAAAGGGATGATTGGAATCCTGGTTCACACAGGGACCAGTAAATACAGTTAGGTACATTGGGTGAAATTGGGAACCTTGTCACATACAACAAGAAGAGATACTACATCAAAACTACACTATACTGATTACACGAATTCAGACATATCAAATATATCTAACACAATGTTCCTCCTAATCTCTCCACCTTTCTTTCCACTGAAAGACATCTTTAAGTTCCACAGGTATTGCATAATAAAATTAATCATCTTATTCAAACAACTCTTTGGAGAGTACCATAAAGTCCAAAGAAATACAACTTAAGCAGGACAATAAAGTCCTCACGAGATGCTCCAAAAATAAACAGTCTTTTCTATTCAAGCATCAGGAAGTTTTGCAGGGGACAAGATTTATCCCATTTGAATCAAACAAGAGGGTTTTTTCATCAAGCAAATGCATCATGTGCATCAACTCAATTGGACAACAAAGAAAAACACTCAACTGCATTACCAAGAATTCAGGATGCAGAATCACCAAATCAATGGTATAAATGCATACACATCCAAAGTATACACAAAATTCCCACGTTTTAGAAAATCAGAGAGAGATTAAGCACCTATTGGAACATGAACTTACCAATAACCGAGCCATTCTATCAACAAACAAGTAGCAAATCCACACAGAGAAAGAAACTTTCTCATTTTTCTCTTAGCTTTTTTCTTAATTCCTATAGTGCTGAATCACTATCTATCTTTAATATTATGCATTTCTTTCTCAAATTACTTCTAATCATCCACCACAAACCTCTTGACATTATCTCTTTTACAAAACATCCCAAATAACATAACAGTTACAAATATAACAAAGTCAACTCTTAGTTAAGGTCATAAATGACTTGGATTTGAATCAAACTCAAGTAGACGCAGATATGAACCACATAAAAATTGAATTTGATCTAAATCATTATATCACGTGAACCAAAAGCTAAATTGTAACCAGTATAACAGGATTTATGAATCAATATTTTCTATATGTTGACATTTCACCATAAGTTCAATTTGTAAACTCAAGTAATCGATGAAGTAGTATGCCAATCAAATCTTTATGTTACTGTAATCTAAAATATACTTTTTACTATTTCTAGTTTCCTGTGTATTGCACAGGAATTTTGCTAGTATGTACTAATAGAATTGACATGTTTACACAGAAAGCAAGTAAAGAGAATCCAGGCATAAGCCAAATGGTACAAAAAAAGGGTGTGGAAAATTCAAATGCCAAAAAGCAAGCTGCACCTCAGGTGGCATTCCAACTGGATCTTCAAAACAAACAGATGCTACAGAATTTTTTGAGGCATCTGAGCCAATCCTGTCAAATTTATCTGATTCTTGGCTCTGCTGAGATTCCAAACCTGTATATTCTTTGATGTGCTTCACAACACGAGGAGGAAAGCTTTTGGAGTTCAACTCATTGTCTGAGTGCCATCCATTATTTACAGAAGTTGATTGGTCGTCATCGTGTTCTTCATCCTCAGAAAAGCTATGTGATGTCTCCATACTACTAAATCTAGGGATTTGTTTACTTATCTCCTCTTGATTCCAGGACAATGACAGATCCTTGTCAGCTACTGGAAGAGAAGTTACATAAGATGGTGAAGTGCCAACAACTTTCCGCATGAGACCATCAGAGACCCCTTTAAACTGACGAACTATATCATCCATAGCATCATCTACATTAACTGTTGAAATGACAATAAGCAATTGAGATAACTGCAGAAGCATAAGTAAACAGGAAGTATAACATGAAGTTCCATCTATTGATAATAGTTAATTGACAAATCCTGTCAATAACAATTAGGTTATCGAAAATAGCATAAGTGAAAATAGCTTCTACACCATGCAGAAAAAAATCTTTGCCAAGATAAAATATAGGTTAACCAGAAATTAAGTTCTATATATAAAATCAGATATGAGTTCACCAACTTAACAGTGTTTTGCTCAGACCCAGTAAACACCACTTGATATGTACCAGTTAAACCAATCCTTTAAACATGGATGTTGGTCATGTAACAATTGTAACGTCGTGATTCTAGAGAGATCTTGAATAAAATATGAAAGGACTCTTCATTTTAATAATTGAGCAACTTAGATAAGACTATGTATTATGTGGCAGGATAACTACACTTAATCATGTTGGAATGAAACCTAATAAGCTCAACCATCTAAATCTAATCTAACTCTTAAAACTATGAGCAACCATCCATCAATGATACATAAAATCAGAGTCTGTCTTAAGAAAAACAAGCTTTTAGTGGCCTATACACTACATCTTATTGAACAGTAAAATAGCAATGTTTGTGAGCAACATACCAACCTCCAAAAAAATGACAGACCGTATACATTGTTCACCATAGCAATACAGAAATGTTAACTCATGTTTCTTATGACACACAAAAGCAATGTCAAATATATAATGAATTCCCACATATGAACAGGAAAATAAATATATTTGTTTTGAGATTCTCCTAAATATAAAAAGGTGTAACCAACATCACAAAGGTTGAAAGATCTGGTAAAGTGTTAGAAGGAAGAAAAAAACATTATGTTCCAAAAGAAAAGGCAAGCTTGATGCAAGTTCATTTAAGAGAAATCACGCTCGACTCAAAGCCATAAGAGTCAACTTCCCATTAGAAAGCATACTCTAGTTTCAAGACTAGTAAAATTTAGCAAAAAGGCACAATTATGAAACAATAAATTAAACTCAATCTTTCCAACAACAAAGAAAGGTAAAAGCTAATTAACAAAAAGGAAATTTTGAAAAGCTACATACCTGCAAACGTTTTCATCACTGATGGAGATTTCCCATAAGAGTAATTCTTAAAAATTTAAAAGACAAAAATAAAGAGAATCAATATCTTGAAAAAATGCAGCACTCTAAAGTCTAAACCAACTCCATGTGTTCTCAAAATGACAATTCTGCATCATATCCACGTAACCCATACCTTTGAAGAAACACTTAAGAAGTCCCATACTTCAAGTTGCTCTGCAACATTAGCAATTGATAAAAGATCCTGCAAAAGAGATAGGAAGATGTAAAGATAAAGAAAAAAATCCAAACTAAGAGACAGCAAGGTAAAGTTTTCAGGCATACTTGCAAATATTTGTCAAGAAGAATACAACGCTGGTGCACAAAATAATCATCAATGCTGGATGAAAGAAACCTCTTTGGGGGCAAATGCAAGGAATAATTAGGTATATCCTTGAGATGCCGGTGCAGCCGCTCGAAATTCCGATATCTGTGATTTAGAGGATAAATTTAAAGAAAAGAAAGAAAGAATAGTCTACATCCTTGGTTATAATTGACTAGCAATTATGGTGTCATGTATTAACAAAAGGATGATTTAGGAGTTGGAAGAAACTCCATGAAGAAAATTATTATTTCTTAAAACCTGAATTAACAATAGACTATTCATCCTTGGTTATATTGCAATTTTTCTTCTCCTGGTTGCAATTCATGCAATGCTGATAGCCTTAAATGAAAGGACAAAAGCTTAAAACCAAGCAGCTGATACAGACAAGGACTATATTACAAAAGTTGTGAGGATACCACCATATTGCGAGAGATGAGAAAAGAAGACCAGAAAATATAATAATTTAGCATTTGCGTGTTAAGAATGATATAAATATGATGTATGGGTAAGAGCATGCCTTCTTTTCACAAACCAGGTCTTGTTCTCTGCATCTGTCACAGCAATTGAATAAACTGCAAATGATTTTGATCCAACCTTCTCAAAATATGCTCCAACAACCTGCAGAAACATTTTAATTGTCAATAGTGAGTGCATTATCATTCCAGCATGTAGCATGTTGCCTACAATGTCACATAGAGAACATATCAGCCTAGGTGTGGAATTAGCTACCATTTCTGATAGCATGAAATGAATAGATAGTTTGGACAGGTAAGACAAATAAAGGAAGGATGAATATATCTGCAAAAAGACGAATGTAGATCTGCCATGAAAATTAGAATTCAGCAGAATCAATCTGATGCCAAAGAAAGAAGAAAGCAAGAATCAAACGATCATTCCTGTATGAAGCTTAAGTGCTTAACAATTTAAATGGTACAATGACAGCAAAAGTGTCAAAGCTAAATGAGCTGCCAAAAGAGTACATCTTTTGAGGACAAGCTAGAACATAACATCCATGAAGCCATGAAGATAACAAGAAAAGATGTCAAGGGTTTAGAAAATTTGTACATGAAAGTGTCAAAGCTAAATGAGCTGCTAATTCATTAGGGACCATTGCTGTCACAAACTTCAAAGAACTCATAACATGATGAATTATTTAGGTTTTAAAATTCTTATTGTTTCAGGATACCCGAATCAATAATTGTCGCATGAGTATCTAAATCTTTATTTCTCCATAAGTGTTTTGACTCTTCAAGCAAGATTTCGATAGAGCTTTTGTTCAGCATCTTCTACTTGATACTGGAAGAAACCTGACCTCGGTATCACTATTGAAGTAAAAAAGAGGTGAAGCAAAACCAAGTCATATTCAAAATCTAAAATCTAGCAGGTTGGTTAAGTTAAACAGTCTTCTCCTATTCAGCAGCATGAATTGGTTCTCTTTCATTCTCTTTTATGAAACCACTGGATTGGAAACAAATGGCTACAAATTGGCAAAGAGCATCAGCTCATGCTTTTCCATGAGAACCAAACTGATGACCTTTTTTGTAGTACTTTCCAGTTTCCAGTATCATTCATGTATATACTTGTTTGATTAATGTTTGAGATAACACTTACTAAGAGTAGCATCTGGATCTTTTGACTAATGTTATGTTACAGAGAGGTGAGGCTAGCTGCAAATCCAAGTAAAACTCGTCCTATAAGAGTCCAATTTCTAGAGTTGTAAGGCCATGCTGAATTATTGACAGCTGAAAGTACGAGAAAAGAGGTAAGAGGACAGTATTGTTGAGAATTGAAGAGGACTCATCACTCATCAGGATATTTTCATCCAATAATCCAGTAGCATGAGTGCACATGCATGTCCAACGTACAAAGAATTACAAAAGCGATTGCACGATTGACTGTAATAAGATAGAGATAGAATTATTCTGTCAATCTTTCATATTAAATCATTCAAAAAGTTAGGCAAATATGTATACATAAAAATTATAATCAATTCAATAAAAGAATATATAATATATATACTAGTTTAAATCTACAGCTTACGAAATGACATACATACCCATTCAAGAAGAATGAAGGTGTATGTGACTAGTTATATCATCATGGACCATGTCTTATTGTATTAAAATATTATAATTGTCAAGGAATTAAACCACAGTTTCAGTTACCATGGCTGGACCAGTCTAAGTCCAATCCGCTCCACATACCGACACACAGTACGTTGGAAAATACCATAATACTACCTTACTAGGACGAGGTGTAGGAAGTAGAGAAGGTGAAGGTGGAGGAAGAAGAAGAGGAGGCCATAGAGGATTAGGAGAAGTACCAGAACAGAGGCGGATGGCAGGTGGATGGTGGCAGTCAGAAAACAGTGCCTGAGCAACAAGGAGACAGAGAGGAGAGAGTTCAAGATTAAAGGATTGGAGATTTAAACTTCAAATTTTTTTTTTAAACCAGACCAGATTGGACTGTCCAAAATGAGGCAGTCTGCATATTGATTCATGTCTGGACTGGAAGATACCACACAGTGCGGACCAAGCGACACAAAATCAAGTTACATGATAATAGAAAAAGCAACAGTAGTAAGGAAAAATAAACAACGTATGCTGTTGTATCTTTGTATTACAAGGGATTGAATAGATATCTGCAGTGTGATTTTATACCTACATAGACCTTGCACGGCAGACCTTCATGCAGGCAACATCTTAACATAGTATGTCTGACTCGGCGATCAACTTTCTTATAATGTAATACTTCTTTAAGAATATAAAAAATTGCAATGAAGGATTCTCACCCGGCATTTGATCTTAGGAAGATGCAAGGATCTTTCACCATAGAAAACCACATCAGAACTTTGCTCTTCCTTATGCTTGACAATGTCTAGGTGACGACTCTCCTTGGAACTAGCACCTTCATCACTTTTGGTCATAAATGTTGCATCCATATCAGGAGTGCTGCTAGATCGTTTTAGTTGTAAGTTATTACTCCTATCTGGTTTGCCAGCATTTCTTTCATTTCCAGAAACATGGCCCATCTCCATATATTGCTCCTTCTCTAGATCATAGGAAACATGATGCTCATTGTTTACTATTCCATGCATTAAGTGAACCATATAGTTCTCATCTATACCCTTTATCCTTTTATTCGCATTGGTCACTAACTCTTTTCCTGCACTGACAGCTCGGACAGTAGTATTAGTGTATCCTGAACTAGCATTCACAGATCCAAGTATTGTCCCCGCTTTCATTAGATTGGCAGTCTTCTTTTGGTAATTTCTGCCTTTAGTCCACATGTTCTCCAAATTCTCGGGAGCAAGAACTTCAGATCTCCTTTTTGTGGTGGCCTCCAGTATCATGGCCCAATCAGCTGGCCTGGGCGGCACAGAATCTTTCTGTAATGCATTTGGGTGGCCATGTCCAGAACCATCTGTTGACTTTTCGCCGCCACTTTGAACTAATCCCAATTGAGAAGAGAGATTCGAAGATGTTTTTCTTGACTCCCATTGACCACTTTGAGTATTTTGTCCAGCATATGTATGTGATTGTGAACTATCAGATTTGACCTCCATGTTGCTGTTGTCTTTATTATCGAGAAACACATATTCAATTAACTCATTAATATACCTGAAAAAGTAGTAGTTATACAATGTTTACATATAAAGGTTAGAAAACCAGTTAAATAGAGAAGCTTCATGGTGTAAAGGACAACACAACGTTGTAGTTTCATGTAATATAAACATATCACGATACATAATTGAACAACTCAGATGGGCATAAGTAGTAATGACTAGGATATCAAATGCATCATTGAGGAAAGATAGCATTACTAATCAAAATCCACTGCAAAATGGCTGATATCAAAAAGAGGATTTCTATTGCAATCATTTTCCTAAAAGGATTAAAAAAACATTTCAAACTAAAAAGTTTGCACAGAAGTTGCAAGGTCAATTGGCTTACTCAGGGCTCGCAAATTTCATAACAGGTTGCACAACCAAGCAGGTCAGGAGCTCTCGACTGAAACAACGAACTAATGGGCATTGCGCCTCTCGTGGTTTCAAGGTTATGGCTAAAACTCCTCCGACAATACGTTGAAGTACCTAGAAACTAAGAATATGTAAACCGATGCTCTGTTGACATAAAATGCATGGACATTTCCAGCTTGATACTTGTACCTTGTATTCACTCTCTGGAGAAAATAAAGCAGGGTGAAGTTCCTTGGAAGCCATTAAATGATGTTTCAATCTTTCATCCCTTTCCTCTGAGGATAAGGTTTTCATGACATTCATGCCTATCTCAGACTGATTTTTCCTGTAAAGATCAAGCTGATTTCCTATCAAGTCAAGAAGATCCCTGCAGAAGACATAGAACTAGAATGCAATTAGTTGACCACAGATATGCCCCAAAGTTACAGAGAAATTGTTGATGACTAGCAAAATTAATTCAAGATCACCTTGTTAGTAAGTCAACAAGGTTGATCCCTTTAACTCTTCCTGATATTTCACCAAGTACATCAAGTATTATAGAGCGTATTAGTTCTGGAGCCTCTTTGTCAGGAGTAATAGATGAATACCAGAGATCTAAGACAAAGTCCTGCAAAATTTTGTTAATAAATTCCTTGATGGCAGCCTCAACAAGAGGTGATTCAATTTTCCTCTTCCATCTTGAGGTTGGCAGTGCTGTAGAAAGACGTGAATCTTCAAGACGTAACTGTTTCTTTATTAAATGGGACAAATATGTTTGCTTAGGAACCGGGCGCATCCTCCAATGGAGCTCCACCTCATAAGAGAAGAAACGGAAGGCCACAAGTATGAGAAATGATATGGGGACATTTGTCCACATTGATTTGCTTGTGTCTGTGAACAACAAGAGATAGTAGCCAATGATGCAAACAAAATCACCATGATGTCATCATCAAAGTAAACAATAGAGTAAAAAAACAAATATAACAAGTGAAATGGTAACGGCCATGCATAACAAAAGAGAAGAGGTGATTCACACTTGCAATGTTGAACAAACCCATTACAATCCTTCTAAGCTACTTGTTGAAGCATTGCCTCGAGCTCTGGCACAAAGCTCATGCACTGCAAGGTAGGAAGACAGTCACATATATGCAGACCCACCCCCACATGCAGAGGGGTCATTTCCCTGATTTGAACAGATGATGCACAGGTTGTAAAAGAACAAACTTAATGTCAAGTCACTCCCGTTCCAACAAGCCAAATTAGGCCACTTAATAAGTCTAAAATATATCTCTTGTGGTGGAAGAGTTTCTCAGTCAAGAAAAATGCATTCTAACATCTAATTGCCAAGACCCAAACTCCAATCATTGGTTGCAGACAAGAGATCATCCAATGGCATTCTCATCAAACTAAATCACATCACATGCCTACATGCCACTTTCTCGAATGATCTTGCAGTCAACTTGCATTTACACAAAACAAGATACAAGAGTACAGTTTTTATACTATTATCTACTGTTCAACATTTAGTACAGCCTATCCACAAAGAGAAGGTAAGGCATGTCTGATTCTGTTATCCTATATTCCTATTATTGCTTCCCATAACAATTTATTGTCCTTCCCCAACTTATCCAAAATAATATTTTCCCTTTGCAAAATTGATTATATTCAATTAACTATATTAGCCTTATATCATTCCCATCATGGAAACCCTTTTTGGATCCAGAGGTTTTATACTTTTGTTCATGACCTAGACCCAGCTTTTAACAAAACAAAGAATAGACAGAGGTTAGTTCCAAAATCTTATCCATGGATCCATACAAGATCCATCTTAGCCCATCTTACAGTCACTAGAGGAACCATATGTTGGAAGAAAAACAGAGAAAAAAAAATGATTATAAAGGTCAACAGGAAAATATAATCATCAAATGCTTCATAGTGTTGGGGTAACTGCTGATCCTGAGGAGTGTTTCTGGTCAAAGCTAATCCCATATCTACATATTCACCATTAAGTTGTATTGGCATCTTACAATTAGAAATATGACTTCAGAATTTCATGCCATAGGAACCCACCTTGCTGATGATAGTAGTCACCAGTAATTCACCCATGTCAAACATTAGGATATTATTGGATTGTCAAGCACCAAAAACTACTTCTCAGTGCACTAACTTCCAAGTTAGGAGTCAAAACATTTTGTGAGAAAAGACAGATTTGGCTGATCGAAATACCACATCATCAAGTGCGCCCATTTTTCTAGGATCATGCCTGGATTGGCCAAAATTGACCTCTTAATGTAACATTCGTAACGCTCAGATGGTGTTAAGTTAAAAGCACTAACCACACCTCGTTGACCTAAATGCTGCCTCCCCTCTGTTCCACTCGACAAGACAACTAGAACACCACTACATCAGGGAAATTACTTCACAAGAAGACAAATGCATTGCAACTTCTTGCAACTAGACGATGTACCGCATGAACAAAAGGAAGAAGTAATCCTCTGCTGTTGAAGAACCATCCTACAATGGTGCACCAGACAAGAAAGGTCTCGTCCCAAAGAGCCTGCGCATTTTGCATCTGATCATGTCAAGATGCAGCTTCAATTCCCGAATTATTAAGAACAAAACCTAATCCTCTGGCCGCAACATAACATGAATCTTCCCGCATCCTTAGAATCGGAAGTAAACAAAAAAAAAAAAAAAACAAAGCAAAATGAATCAAGAGGCACGCCGTACGTACGGGACAAGAAATAGGAGATGGCGAAGACGCAGATGGCCCAGAAAACCGTCCGAACCTTGGCCTCCTCGATCAGATCTTGCACCCTCTCCATCGGCCTCATGGTTCCGGTAGCTCACGGGATACCCCGGCCCGCTACGAAAGAAGAGCGAAACCCGAGACGATCGACCGATCGATGGATGCGAAGGCAGAGCCCAAGAAGATTGGGGGTTTATCGGAGCCCTAGAGAAAGACGTCCGAGGAGGGAGCGGGAAGAGGCCGGGGCGGGACTGGTCGTCTCTTCCTCGCCGCTGCCGCGGCCGTCTTTTCCGGGGGCAGGGAGGGGAGGAGAGTGACGTGAAGGGTAATAATGAGCTCCTCCGCCCTTCTGTCGTGTCCGATTCTTCTTTCTCTTTTCTTTACATCCCAATACACCGGAGATAACGGTATATTCCGCGTAACGGCGACGGAGAGTTCGCCGTTTTGACACGCCCCGGATCAAAATTACAGAAATAGATAAACTATTATTATTATTTTAAGCCCACGTTATAATTATAAATTTTCAATTAATATAACACCAAGGGGCTCAAGAGGTTGAAAAATATAAATAAATAAATTGAAATATATAGAAATATAAATTATTTTTTTGACAAATATTATTTAGGAAAGTAAAGTGTTATACGGACTATAATTCAATATAATTAAAGATAAAAAATAAAAGGGCAAATTGATTATTTCCTCCCCTTGCAAACGTGACTTCTCTATAGGCAAAGGATAAGTTTGATATGAAAAATAATGATAAGGGGGTTTGCGTGCTTCTAGAAGCACAGACTTAATTATAATCCATCCAACTTTCTTACCCCCATATAAGATCAATTTTGACATTTGCAATTGGGCAAAAGGATGGCATCATTAAAGATGGATACATTAGTTGACTAAACTTTGATCAGATCCGATATTTGGAAGGGTAAATATGATATTTTCAAACTCTGCAAGGATAGATATGTAAAACCATAAATGAAAATAGAGACATGTGACCAAACAAGCATATAACTTGGCTTGGGAAAACATAACAGTGACATACATATAATGGCCCTGGAATATTCTACTGCTACAACGCATAGATAACGATATAAACAGGTGGTCTTGAGGGACTCTGACCATGTATCATGTGAACCTGTTCTACATGCCAATAATAAATAAAGGGAACAATGATCGATCACATGAACACAGATCTCAAGCACAGAATTAATCCAACATGCCCGGTTTCAGTGTCCAGATTTGAATGATGCAGTTGTGAAGAACAGAGGGAGAAAGCCAAAAACAGTATCAATTACACAACTCAAAGAAACCACAAATTGTCATGTAAAGGAGTAAAGTTTAAACAGATTACAACACCATGGATTCATAACTTGTACCACAAAGTCAATCACAAACAGAACATAGTGGGTTGTACCATTTTCCAGTTGAAGCTAGAGTTTTCTATCTAAGTTTGCATAACACCGCAGAAGGAGAGATATTTTTGGCACATCAAAAAGTTCTTGACCTGAGTCATGTCAATAGCAACCCCACCAGTAATGTAACTTGCACACTAATTCAGAGAACATGTTTTGATATGGATGATAAGCACAAACATGCATTGTTTGATGCTGACATAGCAAAAGAAACTTTTAGAGTAATTGACTACCTTATGATGCCAAGAGTTCAACTTGCAATTCTGCATATCTAACAAAAGTTGAAAATAAGCGCCTTGTATGGTTCCTAGTTCCTACAGTTACATAATTTGCAATTTTGTGAAGCAGGAAGCATATCACATCAATTGCCTCCCAAAGAAAGAAGAAGAAAAAAAGAACTCAAGTTTCAAATTCATTGAGAATTCTCAACTCGTGAGCTAGTGTGCTGCAATCACATCCTTGCTGCTGATTCCTTCCACCAATAAAAGTGCCAACCTTGTCACCAACAATGGCTTTTGCAATGTTTCCAGGTTTTGTCAAGTTAAACACAACAACTGCATAATAGAGTTTAATGAGATTGGGCTACAAAATTTATTGTGAACTATTTTTCTTTTCAAGGTGGCAATAATTTTGTTGTACCAGGAATATTATTTTCTTGACACAACGTAATAGCTGTCATGTCCATCACAGAGAGATCCTTCGATGTCACTTCTTGATAGGTCAAATTGTCGAGAAGCCGAGCATTTGGGTTGATCCTGGGGTCATCCTCAAAAACGCCATCCACATTCGTTGCTTTAAGCACAACCTCTGCATTGACTGGATATGATGTTGCAAAGAAGTGAGTAGAAAATTTTTCCAATAACAGAAGGTGGTTTATGTAAGAGAGCCATGTTTTGATATTTGGTGCATTGAGAAAACATAACCTGCCAACACTTTTCAACTTATGGCCAAGATTCACCTTATTCAAACAGGCTCATTCTGAATGAGCCTGCCACTAAGCAACCTGGAGGGAAAAGGACGTGGTTTTTCAAGCATTTTCCTACTGGCAAGATTCCAGGAAACTTGAAATTAATTAACCAGACCAACAGATCTTAAATAGGGTGTGGGTGTGAACATAATATTTCATTGTTCCACATAGTAATGGATGAGATATAATTTGAGTTGTACAACAGAGATAATATAGGACAAGTCAGTTGGTGAATAGAAATTCAGACACAAATATATACTCAATGATGACCATTATCTGATTGTCAATTGGATAGATTGGATAACTAACAGATAGCATGATGAGAGTCTTCCTGGAGAAATACTTTCCTATTCTAAGATGAAATTTAGAATACTCTTCAATACAGAACTCTTTTCAACTAATTATGTGACTGTTCAATAAGATCTTTAGTGGCTTTTCACAACATTCATATATTAAAATCATCTGGAAAGAATGGACCCTCCATGATGAGAAGTGGATGATTAGCAAAGGAAACAAACTGAAGGAAGCATGCTACTTTACCGATCCACTGCTGTTTCGGATTATATGAAATTCTAAGGGCACTTTTGATATCGTTGTGTAGTGATTTTCTCATCCCAGCTTTTGGGTATTCTTTATACATCTAGTTATTATGCCTAGTCTCCTCGTGCCACTCTAGTAGGAAAAGTTACATGGGTCAATTGCTTCCTGTCCACATAGGACTTATCCATACTGGTTCGATCATTCCTTTACAAAGCAAAAAGTTAACCACAAATGAGATACCATTAATTATGGTTCTATGTAACATGTTGAAAGTACAATTTAAAATGCCAAATACTGTGCAACTTGGTGGAGAAAAATGGAACTCAAGTTATTGAACATGGAAGCAGATATGTAAGCACACACTAATTACCTACTTTCTGCACAACGTAAGGCAGCAGCAGTGTCAGTTGTGAAGAACGGGTTGCCAGTTCCAGCAGCAAATATAACAACTCTCCCTTTCTCTAAATGTCTAACAGCCCTCCTCCTAATGTACGGCTCTGCAACTTCTGACATGCGAAATGCGGTCTGGACACGAGTAGGGATGCCAATGCTCTCCATTGTGGCTTGCAGGAATATTGCATTCATAACTGTTGCCAGCATCCTGAATCAAAGGGCAAGCATGTAGCATATAGTAATGCTATCCAGAAGTTCTATAACACTAGTTTAAAGTTATTAAAGTTTAGCAATTGGAAATGTTCTCAAATGAATAATTCTGTAAATTAGAGTTTATCATCAATAAATGATGACAAAAGATTACACTGCTAAAATGCAGTTTGACTTATGATATCTTCTATAATAACAACAAAATGACTGTTTGCCCATACACATATTAATGAATTTCTATTATATTTGATACTACATCAAAGATTGTGAACCCAACTACATGATACAACTTGAGGAACTTAAAACATTATACTCACGTTAGGAAAAAAAAGGGAAAAAGCATAAAAAATGTTGAGTTTCCAAACATTAGTTGGCATGTGATTAAATTTTGATTTAACAGAAATGTCACTCGTACTCCACCAGAATACAAAAGGCTAAATGAGTTATTGAGTCAGATTTGGCCATTGGATGTTGTATGATATAACTGTCCTTACAGATAAAAGCTGAATCATATTCTATGTCTCTATAAGAAAGGTTCTAGCAAGAAAGGAGCCAACACCTGAACCTTAAAGTCTTAGTACTGGCAGAACGATAGAGTAGGTAGTACACATAATCTTTTAAACTTTCCCAGGTTTTGGCGAATGGTTAACATGTCCACTGTCCATCATCATGTTTGTATGGATTTGATTTGCTTAAAGGAGGAACAAAGAATAAAAGGTAAGAACAAAGTGCATAAACAGATTCAAAAACCTTTTTCAATTACCATATCATTTGACTAGTAATCTATGCATCTTATCGGTTAGTAAAAACTGATCAAACTCCAGACAAAAGCAACAAAGTAGGACAGCAGACGCAATGGAACATCATCCACAACCATCAGAAAATAATACTGACCACAAGCTAACAAATCTAAATCCAACACTGAGTTTAATTGGTAAACTATCTTTTAGGCACAACAACGATAAATAATGCAAAGTCTTTTCAACTATTTAGAAGGATCTAAATTAGTACCCAATATAATCTGCAGAGGAACGATCAAGACCACTGCAGCCTGCCCAGGAGGCACCTCGAAAGATATTACCTCCACCAACCACAATAGCAACCTAGAAAAGACTGCAAGTTGTCAGACTTAGAACAATAAAGTAGATACAGTATGGAGCAAAAAAATTAATTCCATCAAATAAATTTTGCCTGCATATACAGAGTGAAAAAGATCCCTTTTATGGTCATAAATTTATGGGTCATCTAACCAGATAAGTAATTGTGCATTGTTTGTGCTAACAGAGTACCCTCTTCAAAAAATTATTAGTAACCCTCTCTGGCACTTGTATTGCAGTATATAATATACTAGAACTTGAATTGCAGTACAAAATCTATCAAAACAAACCAACTAAAATATCAAAACAACAGCAGATCAGATGAATCGACATCAAGGAAGACAAACCTCAATACCAAGTCTAGTCACAGAAGCAACCTCTCTTGCAATAGACATTGTAATCTGCAGAATTATTGCAACATGTCACTGAGAAAACCTTCAGGCAAGAATAGAAAAGCTCTCACTCTTTGGTAAGAAAAGTTTATGGACATATTTAGCAAGTCATACAAAGTTTGGGAAGAAAATCTAGTAAAGATGTCACATGACAAAAGAAAATTGGCAATCGTCAATCTGTGGAATGTAGTTAGACCATAACAACTAACAACATTCGTAAAGCATAAGAACAGTTATACTATCAAGTTGGCATGAAGGACATATTATCAAGTTTTCACATTCACCAAAAGTTTCTTAGATGTATATCATTCTAGCAATTCATATTATTGTTGACAGTAAAAGATTTAAATTGTTGTGCACTGGTTTCATGCCAGCGGGGGACAGACATTATGCCCCATGACCAAGACACAGGTAAGGCATCTTGCCAACACAAGTATGCTGGCAACAGACACCCAGGGCATGAGGGCAACAGAGGACTAAATCAAGACTAAATTTCTAAATGTTAAGTGTTCAAAGGATAACAAGTCCCAATTCCTAGCCCAACCTAAATTTCTGTTGAACAAGTTGAACTTGTTAAGTTCGGAACCAGTCCAAAATAAAAAGAGAACCACCTTAGATTGCTCTTTGCCATGGAAAAATTCTTTAAAGTATTCATGCAATGACATAAAAATTATGATTACAATTTGCCATAGATTCAAAGAAGTGGACAACAGATGCAACAAGATCATAAAGTATTTTCCCTTCCGTGATTGTATGAATCTAGAAAAATTACCTTTGGATCAATATTTTGAGCGTGGTCTCCAGCAAGTGCTTCTCCACTTACTTTAAGCAAAACCCTTTGCCATCTATATGATGGCTTTGGCATGGAACCTTCATCTCTAAGCAAGCCAAAGGGAGCCATGGTTGCTGTTTGAGGCCTATACATGATGGAAATAAATCACTAAGATGTGAACATAGCTTTTTCAAACAAATGATGTTCAAAAGAAAGAAAATTGCATCGGAACATAGTCTTAGTATCCTAGTATCATCTTACCGCAAAGGAAAACTAGACTATCAGAGTAACAGGCTTAGATAAGCATAATTAAAGGCAGTACTCATTGATAGCATTGCCCTTCTTCCGTAAGTGATGACCTTTTTGAGATGGCAAGCAGACTACCTGAAAACATATTTTGCTGGAGAGTTCAGCAAGCCCTACCCATCAACAGCTCTTCCGTCGAGCAAATAGAGTCAGATATTCTCCAACCCTTTGTAAGCTTCTTATGTTTCCTTTATGACCTCGAAGTTAAGAACTCGGAAACAACTTTTTTTCTCCTTTTTATTATTCTCTAACTATGAACTCATCCCCCTTCAAGCTACAAGATCGGCTTTAATGGTCACAAAAATTTGAAGCACTATAATAGGTAGAAATATAGCTCTTCTTCGCATTTCACGAAAAGTCAAGAAAGAGATCGTCTTTTAGTCGTCGTTTCAAAAGACGAGCGCCCTAAGGTTAACAATTACCTAAAAAGCAAAAAAACAACAGAAAATAAGAATCTTTAACCCACCAAGGAAACCATTTCCGTTTCCCGACAGCTACACCCACAACATCCTTTCGGCAAAGAACACACACGATCATCCCCCCAAAAAATCCTTTTCTTTCAATCCCCACCACAGTTAGCCGGCACGACACAGGTGTAAAAGACAGCCCACGGAAGAGCAAACCTTGGGTAATTGGGCGAATCCGAGGCCAAACCGGAGGAGCAGCTAACGACCGACCGAGGAGGCGTCCTGCTGCGAGCGCCCAGCATCAGCGACGGAGCTCTAAGCCTCGGAGCAAAGGAAGAAGATGAAGAGAAAGAGGAGAGAGTGGCGCCGGGGAATAAAGAGAGGGAAGGGGAGAAGACGGCCATTTGCCGGTAGCCTGAGAATTTCCCCGTTAGAAATCATCGAGGTGGATATAAGAGAGGAAAAAGAGTGAAAAATAATAATTATAAATTAGAGAAATAGAGGATATTTTAGAAAAGATGGTTTTACATATATATTCTTTCAAAGTTGAGAAATAGCATATCTGCCCCCACCCAAATATATATATATATATATATATATATATATATATATATATATATATATATATATATATATATATATATATATATAATTAATGACTGACTGAAAAATAATTTTTTTATTATTTGATCTCATAATTGAGTTTTATTTATTTTCTTGAAGTCACTTTAGAACAATGTTCACTATACCGTACCATATCGATGTTTTGACCTGGGCTCGATATGGTACGGTACCAATGTACCGGACGGTACATCAGAGCATACCGAGCGATACGTGTACCGAATAATTTTATACTATAGCACTATTAACCTGTCGGACTGATACATACCACACGGTACGAGCAATACGTTTTAGTATGACAAACCTTACTTTAGAGTGAATGAGCCAAATGTCATTCCAATGTTTCTCATAGATTTGAATTGGATCCTCAACTTTTAATTAATATTTTCAATCAAATTTTGACTTTTATCCATGAATTTAATGTAGCCTGATTGCACAGAAGTTCACCTATCGACCACACTACAAATATCAACAAAGAATCATGGTAGACTTTTATCCGCCTTGAATCGTCAATTAACATGAACAACATTTCCTGCCAAACAATCGTACCAAAAATGACAAGATATTCTATCGCATTGTTAGGTTAACTTTATATCGTGATTGCCGGATAAGATTTGGCTACAAGTCAATTGAAATGTCAATCAAAATTGAAATACTCAATTGACTGTTTCCATAATAATTCATGTTATTTACACGCTTGAAGAAGTAGAAGCACTGCCTGCCGCATCAGCTATTTAGTTGGCATAAAGGAAAATGAAGCTTCCCGATATCGTCCTAGAGACTCATCTGCGGAGAATTTGATAACCACAGCATCATCCTTCTGCCATTGCAAATTTGTTCATGAAAGGGAAGACGATACATTACTGTGTTGCAGAGCTACATGGTGCCAAGCCAAAAAAACAAAAAGACTTATCTTAGCAAGGGCTAATATAAAACACAATGATTGTTGTGATTGCAAGTATAAATTATTTTCCTTGCTTTCTTCACTTGGATTGTTTGATCTACAGATGTTACAGAAGCATACCTGTATAAACATAAGCTTGTATCGAGTTGAAGTTCAATGAGAAGGGTCTTTGTGACCGGTCTTGAATATCTGCTTAGCAAGCCAAAACAATGTTAATGGCTGGTCTCACGAAGAACACCAGTAATTCGAAAGATACAAATTTGTGGATGCCTGGAACAAGCAAACCAACATCCTTGATCTGAATGTAAGAACATCGTAGCCATCTAATAATATTCAGCTGTTATTCCCAAAAATAGATAAGTGGTTACTTGCAACAAAGGAGACATTTCTGACTATAACAAAACTGTGCTGGTTTTGCTGCCCCATTCGACAACCCCCTCTTTTTCTTTTTCCATAGAAACAAGGGAAAAGGCAAAGGATAAAGCGAGGTCCTTTGCTGTTCCCGATCATTTCACTCTGTTCTGTCTGAAAAATGGAACATCAGAACACGGAGCCTTTGCAACCATATGCTTTACAGTATACCACCAACTCCTAAAACTGTATACCTGAGCAAAGCACCAGATAGATCATGGCCATGCTGTCATAAGATGCATATGTCAGATAACCATAACTGATCTTCCAGAGATGTCTGTGGTGTAAATTAGTTATCTGTAATAATCACATAATGCGCAAGTATCAGATCACCAATGTAGTTTCAGTTATTAGTTATGGCACATTGTCTCTTCTCGCTTCATAATTGAACAGGCAATCCATAGTTATGGAACGATCTGATGGTTCCATCACTTCCTGCAGTTACAATCACCAAATTCCATGTGCCCGCCATATGAGCGAGGCTCCAATAATCATGATGGAGATGGCTACTACGCCCACAGCTATGATCAGGCTGTATTTTAGGCTTGGTTTGCGAAGGGAGCTTCTCCTCAGGCCATGTAGCTGACATCTTTGACGAACTATCAGAAAACAGCCATGTCCCAAGAGAAAAGCAATCTGAATTCTTTAACCAAGGGAATGGTTCCAAAATTTTGTGTGGCAGAGAGGAAATCTGAGTGTTGTTGCCAACATCAGTTTCTCTATAGCCCACGCCAGGCCATGGCACCGCAACAGATACTCCTCTGGAGAAAAAGAACTCAGATGAATGAATTGACTTGGCACCTATGCATGGTAGGTTGCCTGATCCATTGTAGTTCCAGATATAGACATTGGAGTCCTCACCCACAGATATAATGTGTCTTCCATCTGAACTGAATGATGCAGACAATTGACTTTTGGCTTTCCTGTGTCCTACATTGTTTATCAAATAAAATATAAGCAAATAAGTAGAATTTATCAAGAAAGATTATCAACAATTGCAGTTGATTGACCTGTTACCCAAATAATAGACATTTACACTCCTCTTCTCGCAGAGTTATTCATATTGCATCCATGTTGTATATCGACTTAGGATGTGTTATTCATGTTGTATGCTCAAATATATATCAACAAGAGCTCATAAAAATTACATAAGTTTCTCGAAGAATCAAAGTTCTCTTCAAAAGATATTCCAGTTCAAGAAGCTAGGTCGAACAAAATCAACAATAATGAACTATCTCTAATCAATGTTCGGCTAGCACATGCATATACATATATCCAAACAAATTCAGCATATCAAACCCGACTTTAAGAAAGTTGAAAGGTGAAATTATGCTAAACCTTTGAATTTGAGGATGACATCAACCCCATCACATATCCGAATTCTAGAATCTGCTGATGTGATCATAATTCTTCTAGAATCTTCTGGGCAAAACTGCAAGGATGAAGACTTATGGGTGACAAATTTTTACATAGAACAACAAGCTTGGCAACCATAACAGAGTCAGAAGCCTTACCTGCAACCCAGTAATTCGCTTGCCAGAAGACTTTTTTTTACTGCAGAGACTTAATTGCAGGTCAAGTTGAATCATTTTAGCTACATTCAGAAAAGAAAAGAGAAATTGACAAACAGGAACTGAAGAAGAAGCTATGAAGTAGAACTAAATTCTATATAAAAGGGACAAGGAAACTTCAATAAGGAGGTATATCAATAAAAATGAAAAGAATGTGTTCTATAAAGAGACAAGTTTTCTTTTTTCTTTTTTTTGCTGAAATGAACAAGACTGGCAAATGCTTAAAGAGGATTTATCAAAACCTGAAATATACCTGAGCAACCGTAAAAGCGGCAGTCCCCTTTAATAGAACCAACAACAAATCCCTGTTCAATAGGAGGAACAATGTCAAAATGACGGTGTTGCTGAAGCATAAGAAATTAGGCAATGCATAATTGTGAGTACTCAAGTCAGAAAGAAACCTTTCCATCTGGCTGGTAACAAATAGCAGTTACGATGTCCTTTGTATCAACCCAATCAGTCACTCGATTCTCCGGAATTTCCCAAATGCGAACTTTTCCATCAATTGAACCGCTAATAAAGAATCTGTCCTCAATAGGGTTGAACTGAATGCATGTCACTGGTTTTCATAGACAATGAAACAGAATCAGAGGAAGTTATCCTTGAAAAAAGAGATGAGCATAGCAAACCAATTAACCCAACTACAAAAGTTTGCACTGCAAAATAATTCTAAAAATATCAACACAAAATGCTAAGACATGTATGAGAACTAAAACCAAATTCGGCTTATGCATATAAAGAACTAAAACAGCCATGTACATACAAATATTGAATATGTATCAAAAAGCAATTGAAAAGAAACAAAAAAAAAGAATATTTTTTGCTTCTCATGTTTACCATAATCCTTGTGTTGGAAAATCTTAAGGCATCCGTCGCAACCAACTTTCCACAGGCGTACAGTTTTATCTTTAGATGAGGTCAGCAGATACTGCAACAAAAATTGGAGTACAGTAAATAAGAATGTGGCAAGTTTAATACAAACTACAAAAGACGTGAAACAAAAGGTTTTCAGCAATAGTTTAGTTTTAAAGTGTTATAGCATGTGACAACTCAGAAGCTAAGGAGAAAGAACAAAACCCTGATATCATCTTAGAGAATGAATTATGATTTTACAGCTAAGAGATGGCACTGTTTTTGGCAATGGAACTTCAAATACTAGCGTAGAAACAGAAGATATGAAAGTCACTTCTGATTAAGGAGCTAGGTTCATTAGAACTTACATTGGATTTGGACCAAGATATGTCCAAGATATCATTTGTGTGCCCCCTCAGTTCTTGCAAAGGAGTTTCCTCAATCTTAAAAATCTTTTTTGGAATAAGAACAGGAGCCAAATTGCTATCTTTTCCAGGAACCAGCTTGGTGTCTTTGATTTTACCAACAAATGTGGATGATCCTTCTGGAGCAACACATGTGCAAGAACTTTCAACTTGAATAATCTGCCAAATACATACGACACAATCTTCACCACCACTTGCCAGGTACCTCCCAGTTGGACTAAATTTCATGGTCCTAATCAAACCCTTGTGTGCTTGAATTTCTTGACCCATGTATAGTGCAGTCAAATCCTTGCAACTTTTTCTATATCGATGAACTCTTGTTCCTATCAACCTGGTTAGTTTGGACTTTTTAACAGAAATATCATAATTGCTTGCTCCCACACACTGCCTCCTCTTTCTGAAACTTCTCCACCAGTTTAAATATTTGTTTTTCTTTGGATCAAGACTGCAGACAGTCTTTTCACCAGAAGCGGCAGCCTCTCGGCGTAATAACTTCTGAGCAGACCATGAGAGGCCAAGTAAATCTTCAAACTCATGCAGCGTTATCAACTTGCCCGAGCCAACTTCTTTCAACGTGCTAGGTAAACCATCTTGCCCAAGCTCATGAACAACAAATTTCCTACCGCTATCGAGATCTCTTATACAACATAAAGAGTCTTCAGATGCTTCAACATCAGGAGATGACATACCATTCGAGACAGGACCACTGCTTTCCATAATTCTTTCCATGTCCCTCTGATTTACTGATAAATCCACTGTCGACTCTTCAGTACACATAGAGCAGCCAACTGAATCCACAGAACAGACTATGGGAGATGGCGCAATTTCATCAAAACCCATTCCTCTAAAGAACCTTTTTCGCCTATCCTGAACACTCATTGGCTCCCTTGTCCATAATTCATATTCCAGTGTCCGTAGCTCCAATTCTTGAGATGCAACAAAAGAGTTCTCAGATGATGAGGAATCTATGGAAGTCCTGATCTCATCATATGCGTCAAAGAAGTTATCTTCTCCCTTGTCAAAGCTCAGCATGTTTAATCAGATTGCTGCCCAGAAGCAGAACCAAACACCATTTAGAAAGCTCTTCGCGCCATTTTAAGGACCATAAGCATAAGATTCACCAAAGGTAATTCAGTCTCCTGAGCCCGCTGCTGTACCTGCATTTAGAACAGATGGGGGAAACAATCAGAAGCACCAAAGCGCAAAGGACCAAAATGTAAATTCTATGCATTAAAACAGCATCAGCAGCAGCATTGAAAGACCAGAATTATATCAACAACAGAGCATATTGATTCAATGACATATGTAATTTGTTATAAAAGCAAGATATGTATATACATATATTTAGCGAGAAAACATCACAAATGATTCACTCCTGCAATGCTTCAACTAATTTCCAATTCATAAAAATTTATACTTTTTGAAGCTCTCTATATACTGGTGATAGTTTCGATCCAAACACCACAAAACGCCAACTAAACAAATGTGGAAGAGAAAAGAAAAAATCAGCAACCCTAGAATTTCAAATACTTGATCGAAGATCTAAAAGAAAATGTATTATATATTTAATTTAAAACGCCAAACCCCTAAAAGCCAAAACCAAAAGCTAAACATTAGGCACACTATTTCATTGCAAACAGTCGAAGAGAAACAATCACCAAGAATGTCCGAAATAGCATCTGAAAATATCAAACGCAACATATAAATATGTAAAGTAGACCAAAAATCGAATTTTTTTTCTAGCGCAAATGCCTAAAATTCCAAATAAATAGCACCTCGAATTCTACGAATCAACACCAACTGATTGCGTTCACGGTTCACCGTCACCGGCAGGATTCGAATGAGAACTCCTCCGGTTCTCCCTAAGATATTAATCTGAGGTCTGTGTCTCGGCAGCGACAATGGCGCAGGACTAAAATCTAAACTAAACTACAAAAGACGCCACCCCTCGAAGCCCACGGGGATGTAAAGAAGAAAGAAACCAATGACCCAACAGCCTCTCGATCCAGCCACCCTCGCCCGCACGAGCCCCAGACACGGGCGGCGGTGGCACGCTTTCCAAGACTCTCAATGACATAGTTTAAGACGTCTAAACTGGTTTTATTTTTACCGTGGTTTAAGAATACTAGTAAAGATGGGCTTTTGTATTCCATTCCCTTTCTCGTCTGCAATAATGGTGCTTTTTATGGATCGCAGTCGCGGAAAACGAACCGGACAGGCTTGTCGATAGCCCGCTCAGAGCTACAGAAAGCGATCGCTCTTGACAGGCGGTGATCTCGTCTCCAACCGACAGCTGCCATCCTCTCTCTCTCTCTCTCCCCCCACGAGCCAGTGGCCTAGTGGTAGCAGTAAAAGAGTTGCTGTTGAACGACCATGAACTATGATAGGGGTTGGAGGCTTCGCCTTTCCAGCTCGCTACCAAAGGCTCGCCCCGGTCATTAAAGGCGCGTCCTTGAGCGCTCCCGAGGCACGCCAAAGATCGCTGCCTCATTTTGGCCGCATCAAGATCCAATCTTTGTCATTTATGTCGACCAGTACTCGATCCGGCATCCTGATTCCGCGGTGACAAAACTAGGTCTCAAAACTTTGGGGGGTCAGATTTCAGTACTTACGGGCGAACTGAAAGGCCTCCCCCGATCGCGACCGCGTCCTCATCGCTTGCATTGGCGGCTGGGTACAGGAACTCCATCCATACTCCGCAAGAACCGCCCCAACTCCGACCGCTTCTTGCCGTCGAAATAGGTGGCGTCGATGTCTGCCGAGAGACTCGAGAATTGGAATTGCTCACACGAACTCTGGAGGAATCGAGAAGCGGGTTGTGGCGGTGGTGATCGTGGTGGGAACCATATGTAGGTGAGAGGACGAGGTCGAGCGGTTCGCTTCCGGATACGGTGAACCGTACTAATGGACCGGCCTAAACATTCTTCCCCCATTAGTTATCCATGATCGACTTCTATCATGAACATTTGCCTTCAAAAAATGATTTTTTGACATAATATCAACACTTTGGAGCATCCTATATATATATACTATTATTTTGAAAAAAATAAACTAAAAATAAGAGATACCAATAAAAAAATAAAACAACAAATGGATAATTCACCCATGGATGACAGGGTGATGGCATATCATTCAAGCAATGGAGTTCATGCTAGGGGTTATAGGTCAAAAGCACCATCCGGAAAAGAAAGGTGGAAAGCTGGACACTCTGTTGTCTTGTGCTTTCAGTACAAAAGGTGCTTTAGTGGGGGATTTTGTGCTTCTGGACCTGTCTTTGTTGACAAAACACTGCTCTTACAGTTCCCTGTGCTGATGGAATATTCCAACTCAAAGTCATTTCTCACCTTCAAGACATGGATGGGGGTGGATAAGCACATCAGAATCACCTGACAACACTATCTCACTTAAGCTCTTCATCGATGCCTAAGCTGTCCTGTACTTGTTGATGTCTGCAGTACTGCTTTGAGAAAACAGTGTATTTATATGTCCTATTGACACTCCAACAAAAGATAATATGATTGTTCTGAACGCACTGTTCTGCAGTAGAAAAGATGACATCAAGCAGTGGGCTGGAAATCCTCTAAAGGACACTCTCTGCTTGGATGAGGAAGAATCTCGAGTGCAAGTATCAAAAATAAAAGAGTGGGGAAGATGTTTACTTGGCTGCAGGAGATGCAGTGATTGAAGATCTCTCTCTCTCTGTGCAAAGAGATGCAGTACTGTAGGATGCTCTCACAATACCTTGACTTGTGGTTCTCACATCAATGGAGCTTTCAGATAGGATTAATGGCACCTAATATAAGTTCCAAACTCAACAAACTCCAAAGACAATTCCAACAGGCATATCCCTGCATTAATTGCCAAAAGGTGATCTGAAAGCATAATAAATTGCGTTCTTTGACTTGCAAGTGTTATTCTACTCATCCAATGTGCCAAAGAAACCTCCAACATGATCTTGGTTAGTGTGGGATCTGCACGAATCACCACCTAAACCTTTTTGCATTTATGTGGGGAAAGATCTCTGCCATCTGTGAGATCACAGTGATCAGCTCAAACAAAAACTAATCAACCGGCGTGGAAGATCACTGATCTCTCAGATTCACCATAAAATACTTGGAAAGATCTCTAATCATGTGGAGACAATCTCCCAGTTGGTAAGCAGCTGCTTAATGTGCAACCTGTAAGTGTTGACAATCTTCACCTAATGAATGATGACAGGCACCACTTGCTCTGTTTCCATTCACAACAAGTAAACAAGAAACATATTCAGAACATTCAGCAAAGCTAATGGTAAATTTCAAAAGTGTTTTCTTGACATGAAACAAGCAAATCAGGGAAGACTAAAAGCAGAACAGCTTTTCTTGAGACACAACAATGACCAGCTGCGTTGAGGCTTAGGTAGGGAGGCAGGCAGGCCAGTGACCCATACAACATCGCCATCAAGTTTGTCGACTTCTTCAGCTCATGGATGAGCGACACTGCTTCATTGGCGTCTCTCACATGGTGTTCCTTGAAATCAGCATAGACTTCTTTAGGCCATTGCAAACCTGCCTCAAGAAGACCAAGATGTTCTTTCACCGTTTAGGATCTTGGAGATGTTTAGTCACACCCAAGGCTGTCCAAGGCAGAAAGGTGCTCCGGTGCCTCCAAAAGGTGGCACAACACCAGCTAAAGATCCCAAACACCGCCTCATTTTGTCTCCACAGACATCCCTGTGACGACCTACACCCTATTCCTATATATATATATATATATATATAATCCTTTGGTGAGGTTGCGCATCGGATTTCTTCTTAGTTCCCGTCGGCCCAACCCAACCCAACCCAACCCAACCCGACCGGACGAGAAATCGGGTTGTGGTGGAGGCCGGGTTTGCTTGTGTTAGGGAGGAGGGACAACTTGATCCGAACTGATCGAGTCGCAACATTGGGCTCATGATTTGAATCGGACTGACCATCGTCACGAACCCGATTCATATTTCTAATTTTTATGGTCACAATAAAGTTGATTAATTCGATTTTTAAGCGGAATTCTGGACCGTGTCTTGGACGAAACAGGGAATCCCGAACCCGGCGCAACAGAGCCGTTTCAATCTGTCGGCGCCTGAATCGTGGCATCAAGTGGGGAAACGGATCGATTCGAGTCGGAAACGCACCCGATTCGAGCAGAAGCGGCGAAGACCCTCGTCTTTCCTTTTCGCCGATGTTGCCCTCTTTGATCTGATCTCGATTTATTTGGAAGAGAAGAAGCGGAGGAGGAGATGGCGACGATGCTGCGATCCCTAGCTGCTCGGAGGCACCTGTGGTCGTCATCGGGTTTGGTGAGGAGCTATTCCTCTCATCAACCCACCGCTCTTGTCAGCAAGAGCTTCACCCGGTCACTGCCCCGACGCATTCACCCCATCTCAGGTGGCGATCGTTTCTTTCGTTCTTCCGGTCAGATGATTGAGTTTTCCACGATGTTAAAGATGCGAGCAGTACTAGCAACATATATGACTACTTTAGTCTTAATTGTTGTGTCCAACGATTGCAGCAGATGAACTCTGTTGAGGCTAAAAACTAGCATGCGTCCTTTAGAGTTTCATTGAAGATTTTGAGTTCATATCCAACTTTTGTTCTATTCTGATAGGATCAGAATTTTGCTTAACAAACTTGCTATTTAATCTTTCTTGGTTGTTCCAATGTTTTAGGGCAATCTACCTATACCATATGCTATGCATTTAGTTGTCTTCGCTTGAGGTGGTCGGCCTCAAGAAGTGGATCTCGAAAAATACAGTAGGAGAGGAAATTCGTTTCTCTAGATTTCGTCCTTGTTCCTCCATTCTGTATGATAGCACCTTTCATGATCATTGCTTTGATAACTCAATGCTGCTTTTTCTCCTAGTTCTAGATTGTTAATTGCCAAACCTGGACTTAGTTATGGAATCTAGGTAATTCATGTCATACTAAACTGAGTTAACAAATATAATAGAACAATAAATGCAAGCATAGGAGACATATAAAATCATGTTGACAATGTAAATCCTTGTAGTTCCTTTATAACCATAGAATTAAAATTACTCTGGGTTCAGAGTAATATATATATTTTTTATTCTACTATACATCTCAACAAGTATCTTATTGTTTTTATATCGTTACTAATATAACCATGTAAATTTAAGGTTGTGACATGAAACTTGTTTTCTGCATGTGCAAGATGTCCCAGATTGTAGTTCTCCGTTTGTGAATCGTTTGCGACGTGCATTTAGTTGCAATGTAAACCAATTGCCTGGCATAGCTGACCCTGACATAGAAGCCGCCTTTAAGGATTTAATGGCTATGAATTGGGATGAAATTCCAGACTCAGTCACACACAACACAAAAAAGACTCTTTCTAAAGCCACTGGAGATGAGACTGGTCAAGAGGCTTTGGCAAATGCCTTTCGTGCAGCAGAGGCATCAGTTGAATTTTCTGGGATTTTGGTATCTCTTAGAATGGCGCTTGATGATTTGGGTGGCATAAGTGGTGAGGTATGTTGATTGTGTCTCTCCACGCATGTGGGAAATCATCAATTCTTGATGTTAATTCGAAACTGGCTGCTTCTAGTCTTTGGTATTCATCGTGTGATTGTGGTTCGCAGAATGTTGGGCAACTTCCAGAGTATCTTGAGGATGGCATAAAAACTGCATATAAACGGTACATTACGTATCTGGACTCCTTCAGTCCAGATGAAACCTATCTGCGGAAAAAAGTTGAAACAGAGTTGGGAACAAAGATGATACATTTGAAGATGAGATGTAGTGGAATTGGTTCCGAATGGGGAAAGGTAACTTTTATTTTCGTATTAATAATCCTTTTATCCTTCATGAATCAAAACATAGCCATATTTATGCATTAGCATTTTGTTATATAAGGTGACATTTTCTTCGTTTTTCTATGTATAATCTGATATGTTTGTTAAACTATTGTTGTTCCATGTTGCTTTTAGAAAATTCCAACTCCTATACCCCCTTGAAAGTTTGATGTCAAATCTTTGTATTTCTTGTCACCTGTCAGTTTCTTGGACTTGCGCTCAGTTGTCAGGAGATAACTTATATCATATTTAGCCTCTACTTTTTTCCTTGTAAATATTTATGATTTTATGTATGATTTTGTTTGAGTTTGACTGTTCTTTGCTTCGTCGACAATAATGGTCTAGTTTCTAATACGATAAAAACTAAAAAGTATGAGTGCAAATTATGTAACAACAACAAATCATAATATCCCAATTATATGTATATTCGTGAAAACTGAACCTTTATTACTTTAGTTGTTTGTTGCTCTAAAATCTCTTCACATATGAATGTTAGCAAGTTTTGGAACTCTAGCATACATTTGATTCGCCCACTCTTTCATGTTACATTTGCAGAAGACTCATTCTCAACATCTTTGGCTTGCAGGTAACACTTCTCGGCACTTCTGGGTTATCTGGGTCCTATGTGGAGCTCAGAGCTTGAAAAAAAAGATCATGAGAGTGACTCCTAAGCTTTTCTTTCGGCAGCTGTCTTGAATAATAGTGGATATGTGGTTGCTCCACTATATTGAAATGTATCTAAAACAAAAGATATTTGCTATGTCATATTATGTTTTCAGGGATTTCTTCTCATAAACAAAAAGTGACTTTGCATGTGCATGGAAAGTTGCCTTGTTTCTTTTTCCAGCCTGCTGATGAAATATATATATATTTTTTCTCAGTGGCCTTTAAAGATGTTCTTTTATGTCCCCTCCTGTTGCTTAAGCATCACCATTATTTTTCTTTGCTCTCCTAGGACTCTTGTTTATGCATTTTAAACTACATTTTTAATTAGGATCGATAAATTACTCTTTCCAGATGCAAACATTCTTTTCTCAAAGAATTGAATACTAAATATGTTGAAATCTGCCCAAAACTCGAGCATATATGCAAGCTGAATAGTTTTGGCAGATACATATGTAACATCTTAAGAACTGATATAAAGATGGGTTCTAGTAATTTGATGACTTTTAAGAGCTATATGAGGTATTCTAAGGAACAAGAGCAATTTTTACATTCATGTTATCACAACTCTTCCAAAATTGACTCGAGGTAAATCATCAAACTTTCTCTTCCTTTGTTGGTGGTGGTTATGAATCTGTAAAATGACTAATCCATTTCATTGACTTGTATCTAGGTTTCATCTTTTGAAGGATTTCTTTTAACTTCATTTTCAAGTTTTGCAGCTTTAAGTTACATTTAAATTCTTGTCATCTAAAGTTTTGTTGTCTGATAAAGGTGGTTCTATTGAACTTTTAAGTTTACCTTGCTTTTGGACTGCATTTATAATTTAATCATCAACTGTCCCCAACTCTTTATAGGGCTTTCTTGTGCTCTTCTTCTTTAACAGATTTATGGTTGAGAAGAGATGGGAGTTCCATATTGGTTATGGCTGAGGTATATGTCCTAGCTTGCTCAAAATAGGAGAGCAACTGAAGGTAAATCTTGTTGATGGATTGTGGAGGTTGCTCATTTGTAAGTCAAAAGTTGATGCTGTTTTCTCTGCTAGATCCTTCATTGCACACTTAAATTGGTTGATTTCACCTTGACTCTTTTTCATGGTATCTGTATCGACCAAATTGACTTCTTTTCACTAAAGCAGCATTACCTTGGGTTGTTTCCTTTCCAAATTTGTTCTTCTGTCGTTTATTATTTTTCTTTGGGATGGCAAAACCTTCACTGAAAGAAAGTTTGCATCAAGGAAATTGCCAGGCATATGATGCTGACCATGGAGTCATGGATGCCACGTCAGCGTGCTGAAATGTTATATAGATGAGACAGCCTATTGTAGCCAAAGTGGCTGGCTTTGGCAACTATGTTATCTGTCAAGCAGACACAGTCTCATAATCCACACTGTAAATTAAGTGTGATTGAGCTTCTTTAGAGATTGTTATTTCTATTTAATTGCTTCTTTCTAATCTGAACTCGTTCATCATATTATTGCTCTCTTGTCATATGCAGTTAGTAACATCAGTTGTCCAGCCTCTACTGTCACCTAGCTATTATAGTCTATATATAGACCAGGAACACACTTTACTCACTGGTCTGCAGGGACCATGAGATGTGTTCTTCCTACACTGGTGATGACCAAGCAAGCTCCCACATATTGTGCATTTGGTCTGTTGGGACCAGGAGGAGTTATCCTACCTTGTTGATAATGTTTGCAGGATGATCAACCATGGCACCGAGGAATGTTTTAGCTTGTTCCAACTTCATGCAGCAACTTAGTCGAGTGTCTGCCTTAGATATATATGCTCATAATTGACAGTACATGTTTGAAGCTGTGGTGGTGGGACTTTCATCTGCCCTAACATGCTCATTACAATCGATCTCATCGAGTTTTCCGGTAAGACAAACATCTTTGGTTGAATTAAGATCATTCATGATTTGACATGCAGTCTTTTTGGTCATCGAGTTGTGGCACAATTTTATGCAGGATGGCAAGAATGTGGTGTGGCAGTATTGCTCCTCTCTTGGGTTGGGAAAAGTCTTCACAGATCACGTCATCTCATTCATGATATCCTCCATCGCACAACCATGTGGATATCTTTTGGGTTTGTTCACCTACACCTTTACCCACTCTCCCACACAGGAGAGAGGCTTTCATCCAGACATGTTACTGAAATAAACAAAAGGAAAAGTTGATGATGTACCCCCACACAATGAACATTCATCATCAAACCCATTTCCTCCTCCTCCTATTCTAAATGATTAAAGAAATAAAAGGGATTAAAGTATATATATATATATATATATATATAATATTATAGATATGATATGTATTCACCAATGTTTTAGGGTATCCAAATGCAAGGGAAGGGTGAATGAGTAGATGTGTTTTTTTTTGTTTTATATATATAAAGGGATAAGTGATGAAGATAGAATTTGAGTTTGTAAAGAGATATTATCTTATAAAGGAAAACAGAAAAGAACTCTACATATGTAGTGTCATTACAGTCTTTTCTTTCACGTACAAGATTAAGAAGAGGCAAAAGGAATACACAAAGGTTTGGTCGAAGGAAAAGAAATACAACTGCATCCGATCTCCATCATGCAGTGGTTGCAGCAGGTCTCCCTATTACCAGTCGTTTCATCTCTTTCTCTCTCTTTCTTTTTGATGTTCGACTGAGAGCAGAGATCTCAAACTCCTAATGCATGCATGTATCGCAGCTGCAGAAACGAAAGGAAGTACAGAAGAGAGAGTTGCCTTCCGAAAACAAAAAGTCATGTACGTATGACTCTTCAAGGAGAACTATCTTTTTCAAGTCCCATGGAGTTATGCTGCTTTGAAGGCCCCGATGGTGGTATCGGCCGCATCCCCTTAGGCGAAGAACCGACGATGACAAAACCTGGAGCACTCTTTCTCCCCAAGGCTCTTCCTCTGAAGGCTTGCATGTCTCTGTGGCCATGGCAGCACGAGACCACTAGAAAAAGAAGAGGAAGAAGAAGAAGCCACGCTGCTAGAATGGAGTCCCTCGTGAGATGACCCATTTGGTAAGAGGAAGACAAGGCCAAGTGGAGTGGTAGGGAAGAAGAGCTTCGAGCGTCGGTAGATGGAGAGATGGTGTGGCATTAAATGAGAAGAGGTGGACTAGGATTTGAGGAGCGACAGTAGAACGAAGTCGAAGTGTAGTGGTGGGGTTGAGGTGAGACTAGAGGTGGAAGAAAGGGACCATGTCGCCATAAGGCCAGGAAGGGGGTGGGCGTAATAAAGAAGGAATGGAGAGGAGGAAGCAGAAGCAAAAGAAGGGAAAAGTGGGGCATGTCGAGTGAGTATATGAGTTGAGGGGGGTGTCAATGGCCGACGGAGGAATTGGAAGGTTGTCTCAGTCCCAAACAACGTTTACCTGTCTCCAGGATTTTGGTAATGGCATGGAGGTGACAAATGGTTGTACATTATTTGATTGTGGATGTTTCAAATTACCGAAACAATCATAATAAAAAGATGATATGCATTATTTTTTTACAAACGACAAGTGATTAAGACGTGATTAATTTGATCATAATATTTTGTTATGATCTATCTCTTTTCCATTAACACTTTAAAAAAACTTATTGGACTTTCGATAAAAGACTGATGTTTTATGCATACAAATTTGTTGAATAAGTTTTCGAATCCTCAAAATTTGATGAGCATGATATGTTGTTGTTAGGCCAGTATTTTAAATCTTCAATGCTTGATATATTTTTCTAAATGCATATTGAATCGGACAAGTTATCGATGTAAAAAAACATATCAAAAATATGATGAACTATAATAAACCATAGAGAAGATAAGAGAGAAAAAAAGAGACATTGACCACTCTTGATTTTTTTTTTTTCTAATTTTACTATAACCCTTCAATCAATTCTTATCTAATCATAAATTTTAATTTAATATTCTAATATAATTAAGAAAAAAGGCGATCCAGCCATGAGAATATACTTTCTTGCTTCACAGGAATTAAGAAATCAAGATGTTCCCACCCAATTTTCCAAACCATGCATTCCAAAGAAGAGTAACAAATGATGCTTTCTTGCTTGCTTTGGTGAAATTTAGAAGAGACATCCCATTTCCACTACTCATCATGAAAAGGATAAGCAGTTTGATACACATCTCAGAACTGTAGCAAGCAGTCTGCAACTTATACATCCTTCTGGAGTTGAAGACATTGCAACACATTCATGACATGACCAATAATTTCATCTAAAGTATACGAAGATACGTAGAGTATCTTGATGCTACAATGCCCTTCGCTAATAGTATTTACAGTGGATTTGGCAAGCCGGAGTCGATTCAGATGAATGACAAAGTTCTCACGTAAAGTCCATTGGATCATCTAGGCATTGGCCACTAGGTGACTTATCATTTGAGGACTCTTGTGCCTCAGACGCATGGAGATGCTGAGCTTGATTGCTCGAATGAGAATAGTAGTTCGGTATGCTCTGCTGAATCACAATGTTACGAGGATTTCCATTTGCCCTTGGAAGTTGCCCGGTTGCTTTCTTAAGCCGCTGGACTTCTTCTCGCAAAGTTTCATTGAGAGCTGCACAAAACCATAAAAGCTTTTCATGATAAGTGAAGTACCATTAGGTTCCTCGAGAATTTAGTTTCTTTACTTACGGAAAGCAATTTGTCTATTTAAGAATGCTAAAGACGTGGAATATTTGGATTATATGGTAACTGTGTCAGTCGATGAATTCATGATGTAAATAACATCTTGTGCATTTGGTGACACTTGAACAAAGTAAAAGCATGATCATTTGATGACTCCAAGAAATAATAAAGAAATGTTATAAGTAACGTTTTGTGTCAGAGTCAAATTGTTTAAACAAATGCATGGTGGATTTGCTTTTAGCATTAATTTCTAATTGGTTTACAGTAATAAAATGGAAAAGTATCTACAGTTGATCGTTAACACCTACCCTCACGAAGTTGAGCTTGTTGCTCCATGGAGTGCAATCGCAACTTGAGTTCTCTGTTCTCAGTAGTCAAACCAGTAGTATCTTTCTGGGATTTGTTAGGAAGTTGGACATTAGTCATGTATTCAATATATAACAAAATGTGGGGTCATTGACAAGTAAACTACTTTCAGATGGAACAAATTGAAATCATAATCAATGCTTGAAAAAAAAAAAAAAAAACTTTTGCCCTTTTGAAGAAATTAAAAACAAATATGTTATTTTGCTCTGGTCAAAAGAACTAAAATGTAAAATGCAAGGATGTTTAAGGGAAACACAACAAAAAATAAATTGCATATTTACATGAGAATGCAATAAACACCATATCTGCTATTAATTAACATAATGTCTAAAGGAAGGTAAATAGTTCAAGATCAACGAGAATCGACAGGAATGGAACTCCAAATGCAGAATCACGAGGGTAAAAAAAGAAACAGAGGTCCAATGTTGAATCATTGGCTACTCATTATTGTCCTTTTTCGGCGAGAAATTATTGACAAGAAATCATAAAGAGAAAATGGAGCCATATCTGGCCAACTTGCCCTACTCTTTTAAGCTCAATGTCCCAGTTACTCCACTTGGCTACTTTTTTAGGTTAATCCTTAGTTGTCAGGAAGCATCAAATAATGATGTCATAACAATTTTGTCATGATTCCAAACACCATGCATAATCTAGTATAATGCATTAGAGATACTTGTGCATTTCTTTGATTTTCCTACCTTCATCACCACAATTACTTTACCAAGATTTGCTGATCTTCCAATGTTTAACCATTAGTGTAGCCATTTGCCAAGTTTGCTTCAATCTAAAGCTCCTAACAATAGAATTTTCAGATTTGATTCTCTGCTTTGCAACTTGCCCCTACATTATGACTCTGGTCAATAGACAGGTGCATGAAGTAGGAAAAAATTCTTTAGTTTCATCTGTTACACTATACAGAGTCCATGTTGCTCCATTTGAAAAGTATATATTCTCCCTGTCGACTGCATCCCAATTCACTTACCTAATTCTATTTCCTTGCTTGATCAGCTCATGTTCATCAACATATATAAAGATCCACATCTGATCCTCCTGTGTTCCTTCCTCTTCCATCTGTCTTAATTAGCAAAATTAGCTCCTTCACAAAGGCCACACATGAAAAACAAAATAATTTTAGAACTGCAAATTCCTTTCTTTGAATATATTGGATCTAATTTTTAAAAAAGCATGCTTTCCTTTCTGCAAGTAATTTGACTTTAATGAAAGGTTAAATTTCTGTGTTGTTACACTGTCACTCTAAAGATATGATCACAGATCAGGAGAATTAGGAAGATCAGAAAGAACTGAAAGAAAAAGAGGAAAAGGAAACTGATAAAGGGCAGTTAGGGAGGCATTTTCTGATGCTATGGTGGCAATGGAGCAAAGAGACCGCAACAGTGGAGAACGGTGAGTCATAACATCGAAATATTTGTCATCAATATGGCAGTACACTATAAAGTTCACAAAATTTGAACTTTGAAATTCCCACAAAAGTTATCGTTAGCAACTATAGCTCCAGTGCACATTTTACTTTATACTGAAAACAGTATTATTTAAAAATAGAAGTTAAAATTAACAAGCTACAAGCTATGATGTCCACACCACAATATTCATATGTCAGACCAACTTCACCTTCTAATGAAAGCCAATTGACAGATTACACCGATAGGTCTAAGAGGATCTGAATAAAGTTGCTTGTTGATTTCAGCAGCAAACTACACAAAGAAAGCAATACTTTATACCATTAATAGATGAATTAAGAATGAGTGAGCTGACTAATCAGAAAGCACAGAAAAGGAAGAAAATAAGAGGAAAACATACTTGGAAATTTATCGGACAGGCTATTACATGTATGTGTTGCATAACACTGATCAGGGGTTTCAACAGCATCCAATTAGACCTGTTTAAAGTAATGACTATTTGGGTATTGGAATCTAATCGGAGTCTGCTTAGCAACTTCTAGATAGAAATAGATACGTCACTCCTTTACTAAGAGATCCAATCGGCCACCTCCTCAATTCTTCTAGTTAGATTCAAAACATAACTCTTAAAATGAAATTTGTAAAACTATTTTTAAAATTTGTATACTGATCACCATGATTAAATAAGGCTATAGAACTATTGGAGACCGAAATAGTAAGGAGCTTCAAATTAGTCAAATTATCTGAGTACAAGAGAACATTGGTCACAGTTGGCTTCACTTCACATGAGTAAAATTAGAATTTAGAAATGTTGAATACATGGTGACAGTCAGAAATAACGTTTTCTGATAGCCCATAGAATGACATAAATGCAACTTATGGATGTTAATGAGATCCGCTGAGATGGGAGTCTGAACTGATTATTTGACATTTCAAAAGTCAAAAACACTCAGTTCTGGCAGTAGTATACAGATCATACAATAGCCAAATGAAAAAAACCAACAATGCAACAACCAAGACTTAACACAAATTAAAAACTCATCAACCAGAAGGTGTGTAAACAGTATGAACCCTTAATATAACTGCAATATGGACTCCTGACAGTAGACAGACTGATCCCTTTAGTTTAGGGAGTATCATATAAATTTAGTCAAATTACAATCTTTAAAAGGAAAGACAGTAAACCCTAAAGCTAACAATATCTCCTACCTGCAGAAGTGTAAGCTGTGTTGAGAGAGAGGTTGCCTCTGTTTGGAGTGTTTGAACCTTTCTTTCAAGTTCACTTGTATACCGAATCTTCCTCTCCTTCGAACGAGCAGCAGATTGCCTGTTTGCAAGAATCCTGTGGCACAAATCCGACAATCATAATCATGTCGAGATTCTAGAGTCAAAATATCTAAGTATTTTATTAAATTGTGTGGAGTAAATATCTCTTGAAAGATAATAAAGAAGGGGTTTTTCCCCCCATTTTTTTCGAGAGAGAAAGAAACACCGTCCGTCGCTGTCCAAAAGCAAGATAAAGAAGGGATTTTGGATTAAAAAGAACCTGCTAAATCGCATTTTATCCTCACATAAATAAAGATATAAAGAAAAAGTAAAATAGCCGACAGAACAATGAGGAAATCAATCGTGGAATCAAAATCAAACAAAGGTCCACAATTTGAGGACTGTAGATTTTTAGGACATATGAAAGCAAAGGAGGACGGGGAAAAAAAAGCAGACCTTTTCGCACGCTTGGGATCGATCAGTGCCAGCTCGGCGAGCTTATCAGATGCCATCTCCTTCTTCGCGAAATCCGACAGCGGCGGCAACGACTCCTGCTCGAGCGGCGAGGCCGCCCCGTCCATCGACCCGCTCCGCCGGTGGTGCCCCTTCCTCTCCGACCCCAAGACGCCGTCGTCGCCGCTTCCAGCTGCCGCGCCCTGGAACGACAGCCCCTCGAACAACGCGGCGTCGACCGACAGGCTCCTGAGGTGGGCCCCGGGGACTGGCCTCCCCGTCGCCGCGATCGGGGCCCCGCCGTCGCCGGAGAGGTATTCTTCGGAGAAAGAAGAGAAGTCCATGTCCGGGATCCCGAAGTCGAGGTCGGAGTAGCAGAGGAGGTCGTCGGGAACGCGGATGAAGGTCTCGGAGTGGGCCCGGCGGTGGGCGGCTCCGCCACCGCAGCCGCCGACGCCGAGGCCTCTGGGGGTGGGGAGAGGGATCTGCCCGAACCGGGGGTTCGGCGGCTGCAGCGGCCCGGCAGGGTCCATCGCAGGGTGCTCGGAGATAGGATGGTGGAGGTTACGCGACGAGGGTCGGCTTGCGAAATCGTACATACGAAGAGCAAAATGGAGGGAGGTAAAGGGCATCTGACGGGGCCCGCATGTGGGTCCGTGTGGACAAGTGGGGGCTCTAAACGGAAAGGTAGGTAGAGGGACGGGTGACAAAGTAATATTCTTGTTTTTTATTCTTTCCCACGGGCGATCCCCTCCAACAGTATCGGACCGACCGGGGGGCTATAGCGGCGGGCCCACATTAGTGGACGGCTGTAACATGAAAACTTGGAGGATACTAAGTATTTCAGATGAAGGAATGGCTGGAGGGGATCCGCAGGCTACAGCGTCGTCCGGACCCTTTTGTGATTTGACACGTGTTCAGAGACTTTTTTGGGTGATGGTTGTGACGTGTATGATTTGCTTTGTAATCCGCTCAGCTAAAAGAGTGTGAGTGGGTGCGTTTGCGACGAATCCTCGTCTCTCACCGCCAGACGCGTGACGCAACGCGATTGGAAAGACAACACGTATTTCTCTGGGACCGAATATGGGGCCCACCAGTGTCTCCTCGAGTATTTTTTTTGGCTAAAAACCTTTGAATAGACCATATTATATCTTCCGTAATGGCGGAGATCACTTGTCTCAGCCAAGGCAGGAAACAGTTTTTTTGCCTTTTCCGTGTTGGTGGGTCGAGATAAGATTTATTTATTTTTTTAGAATAAAAAGGGGGAAATAGCCATTGTCTCATGTGAATTATATGTTGCAAAAAACCAACCCCTAATCATTATAATTAATTTATTATAAAAACAAGCAGACAATTAGTATACAAATGTTTACATTTCGAAGTATCATAATTATGACTAGTTTAGGGATTTTTTTTTGAATTATGAATGAATTAAAAAATATATATTATATATAGGTTTGTGCTGACATGAATATCTCATTCTGCTGATTAAATTTTACTTGTAGAATATTTATCTCTCTCTCAGAATTCAATATTTTTTATCTCTACCGTACGATCTATATCCGGTGGCTATTATTTGGCGCCTTTGCGCTATAAAAGAAGTTTTTAGAGTCCCATAAATAACAGAGTTAGGACGCTAATCCAGCCAACGTGGCCACGTCCGAGCCAAGTCGTAGCTCGAGTCGCGGAACGAAGCGGCGTCCAAATGTTCCAGTTAAGCGACCACTATAAAGGTCAATAAAGTTCCCGCTTTCGTGGGAGCAAACTGTGCGCTCGTCCCCCAAATCGCACTTCCATTCCCTCCCAAATCCGCGCCTTCTTCTCCTTCGATCCATCGTCATCGGGTAGTAGTGGCAGCTCCTCTGGAACCTTGCACGTCGATTCCCCACGAAGGACCTTTAAGAACGAGGTAGGATCTCCCTGTACAACTCAGCGCTCTTCGGATCGTTAATTGATTGTAAGAAATGACCGTTTCCGTTGTTTTCTTGTCATTGTCCATTCTTGATTCTTTGGAATTGGGTGAGAAATCTGATGTAAATATGTTGGCTGATCTTGATCTGGGTGTCTTCTTTCATATGAATAAACCCTAGATTGAATGACCTTTAGGTTTCAGTTAATATGTTGGTTTGACGGTTTCTGTTCTAATTTAATCTGGCATTAAAATGATCATGTGAGAAGTATTATGAGAACGTATTCGTACATTACGATAATATGGATATCATAAGGAAACATTTCAGATTAGCTTTGCTGTTTATCACTGTGATTACAATGGACTAGATGTTACTGGATTATTGAATCATTACTCGATGACATATTCCTATGGGCTACACATAAGCTGATACATTTTGCATCTTTTGGCCAGATTTTTATGTTATTGTCATTTACCCATGAACAACTTATATCAATATTAACTACCTTGATTTATGATCATCTAAGAATCCCTAAGAAAATTACTTGGGTTGAATGCTTGGCATCATCTCCGCAATACATTGGCTTGGTTGAGATTATCATAGTAAGCAAAGAAGGGAAGTAGTACAACAGTTGTTTCTGTGCAATCCTAGTCAGAGTGTGTCCTTCCACAGTGTTTAAGGCAATGGTGGGAAGTGTATAAATATGATAATTCATTAAGCACATCAAAGTATTAGGATCTGGATGCTTACAAGCTCACCATTTTCTTGTCACTGCACTCTTCGTCATCTTTGTCACATCATCATGCATCCATTGATATGGATTATAGGTCTTGTCTCTTCATATGGCTCATGCATTATGAGCGATTAATTCTATCGCATACATGTTCAACGATAGCATCCAGGTCTTGTCTCTTCATATGGTCAGGTTCCTCCCATTTGCAGGCTTCCATTAATTGCCTCGAAGCTATTAATTGTGATTGAGCTTCCCTGTCATTTTTGGGGAAATCATCTGTTGGAACACATTGCAAAGGCCTTTTCTTGAGGTCTATCAGGTTTGTGTTTTCAGAATTGGCCCTGCTTTGTATAAATAATTATCTGGGGCATCACAGGCTTCCTAAGATTAGCTAACTATTATTCTATCATCTGACTCTTATGCAAACTTGAATTCTCTAATCGAGTTTGTTTAACAAATAATCTTTATGATGATAGTCTAGTCCCTTAAAGTTAATTTCCAGTGATTATTTGCTGTACACATAAATTTTTAACTAATTTTTTTATATTTGCTGCGACATGATTACTGTTGTTTCTAATTGGTTCATATTCAGGTTCCTTTGGTTAGGTTTGTGATTCAAGAGCTCCCATTGTCTTTCTTCATCACATTCTACATTGTGTCAGCACTCAGTGGCTTCCTTTAGACCCTCCTGAAAGGTTAGCATTGCTGTTTCACATAACTCGGTGAACATTTCCATGGCATCATTTTTTGCTGCTTAATAAGAAATAAAAGAGCAATGGGAAGAAAGTTCTGTTTAGAGGAAGCTCATATTGTTTTAGAATTATATATTCATTCTCAGGCTTTGTTTTTTTTTTTTTTCTTGAACGGAATTCATAGAATTTTTAACTATCAAAAGTTTATTACCCTTTGAACATAAAACAGTTGTATTTGGTGAACTTAATGATGGTCAACGATAGCAACCATTCTGCTTTCATTATTAGATTCCTTTATGTGTCTGTTGGCATTTTATATAGTAAATAAGCAGTCTGTGATGCAAAATTTGACCTCTTTGACATATTCTCCTTCACCTATAGATGTAGCGGAGAAAAGTCAACAAGTCTTCAACTCTTATTTGAGTCAATTTGAGTTCCTGATAAGAGTGACTGAATGACATACCTTTCTTTTGTATGAACTCTATAGGTTTGCTCATCTTCTCCCTCTTTTTATTTTCTTCTAATTTTTTAATTTAAATCGGGAACAACCCGACAACCTTTCTATCGGACGAACTCTTCGAGGGGTATGATTCGAATCCTTGTTTTTGTTTCATTCATCTTTCCGTTGACATGCTGACATGACAAGAGGATGGGCCTGAGATAGCGTGTTCCGTCATTTCCGCTGCTGTAGGCAAGCGCGAGCACTGGCCTTTTGAGCTAAACTATAACACGGAGAGGTTCTCTTCGTTATCCTTTCTAATAGATATTTTCCTTCCATTCGTCACTGTCAACGTTATGTTGGTCGGAAGTCCTTTCACCAGTTACATTTTTATTTCAGTGCCTTTCCCCTACCAACATATTCTTGAACACGGGATCTTTGACCCGTTCCAAGTTTCCAAGTTCTTCGGGTCCGCGTGGGGCTTCGAAATGTCCAAAAAGCCCTCAATCCTTGCGGACGGAGTGGGGTGTAGATGTGAGGGCATCTTCGTCTATTGAACCTTAATCTTCTGGAAACATTCCGCGCACGCGCGCGTACTCGGTCCCCGCGGCTCTCCGGGGAAGAAAGCCCGTTCGTGTCGCTTCGAGATACGTAGAATCACAGATCTCAAAGCACAAATGACTTCATGGCACTGCTGCTACGCGGGCGCGCTGTGTCGCGGTCCGCGTCTCGCCCGCGTCCATGGGCATTGCGGGCTCCTTTCACCGCGGTTAACTTGGACATTTTATGTTTTATTTAGAAGGGCATATCCCGCTTTGGTGGGACATGGCAAGTCGCGGTCTCCTTTCCTTTTGTTTCTTTTAAATTTGTCCGCGTATTTGTTCCTTCCGAGGAAGGTTCATAAAAGGCGCCTCTTCGCCTCTCTCCTACCCTCGATCATCGAAGGTTTCCAAGCAAGCCAACAAGCAAACGCTACCTCGACGAAGGTCTTCGGGGTAGTGTTTCGCTCCCTCCAGTCTCTTTCGTTTTCCTCTCATTCCCGCCCCCACCTTGAAACATCTCTTGCTCCGTAAGAATGAATTGAGTGGTTCGGTTCCACCGATAATGCCCGCTGCGGTCTACCAGGGCTTGTCCTCCTCCTTCTCGCCCTCCCTCGGCCGGTTCATCCCAAGCGTCCGCGGCGACCAGATCCACGCCATTGACGCCCGCCACCACATGGCCGCGGGCGCCGCCGCCGAGCAGCCGGATCTGCTCGCCTTCCAGCGCTGCGTCGCTGACCACTTCCTCGACCTCTCCGTCGTCGACGCCGATGGTCTTCTGTCCCTTTCCTGGCTTCGCAAGCTCCTCCACTCCTTCCTTGTGTGCCATGAGGCATTCCGGCCCCTCCTCCTAGACCGCTGGTCGCTCATCGCTCGCCCACCCCTTGACCGTCTCGTCGCCGACTTCTCAGAACGCACCGTCAAGGCCCTCGACATCTGCAACGCAGCTCGGGATGGCGTCGACCAGCTCCGCCGCTTGGAGACCCACCTCGAGATCGTGGTTGCCGCGCTTGGCCCCGCCGCCGCTTCCTCCGCCCGCCACGGACACCGCGAGGGCCAGCTCCGCCGCGCCCGCAAGGCCCTCGCCGAACTCGCTGTCATGCTCGACGACAGGGACTCCGGCTCGATCCCCTCCCACCGCAACCGCTCCTTCGGCCGCAGCGGCAGCGGCAGCGCTGGCTCCTCTTCGTCCTCCTCGCCGAGCGGCAGCCGCCGTCTCTCCCACTTCCGCTCCCTCTCCTCTAGCGTGTCCCGCTCATGGTCCTTAGTGCGGCAGCTGCAGGCCATTGGGAGCAACATGGCCGCACCTCGCGGCCACGAGGTCGAGGCCACCGCCGGACTCGCGGTGCCCATCTACACGATGAGCGTGGTGCTACTGTTTGCGATGCGGTCCCTGGTGGCTGCGATCCCATGCCATGATCGCAGCAACCAGGCCCACTTTTCCATTCCGCGGACCTTCCCGTGGGCAGCGCCTATCATCTCTATTCATGAGCGGATCGTGGAGGAGTCCAAGAAGAAGGAACGGAGGAACTCAACCGGACTGCTGAAGGAAATCCAACAGATTGAGAGGTGCACGCACCAATTGACGGAGCTGACACAGGCCAATCAGTTCCCGATGTCAGAGGAGAAGCAGGAGGAGCTGAGGCAGAGGGTGGAAGAGTTAGCACAGGTCTGTGTGGTCTTGAAGGAAGGACTTGGCCCGTTGGAACGCCAGGTGAGGGAGGTCTTCCTTCGGATCATGTGCAGCCGCATTGACGGTTTCGATCGCTTGTCTCAGACTATGCAATGAAAGCTCCCATTTTTTGTCCTGTGGCAGAAACAATTATCTGATGTTAATGATATGGGGCCATTGTCATTGCAAATTGGAATGAGAATAGAGAAAAAAATGAAGTGAAGTAGATAAAGTGAAGGAATTGATATAGAGCAAATGAGTCTTCATTCACACAAATAATCAGGTAGTACTTTTGTATTTACCATGATAAATTGTGTGTAAAGCATATGACCAACTATTTATGTTGCTGATTCGCATACACAGCTCTCTAGTAGTGTCTTGGCCTTTTCTTTCAAGTTGTCTGTCCAAATCTTGAGCCCTTCATGGAAAGCCTTGGTCAATTCAGGAGTGCTTGTGTTTACTCTTTTCTCCCCCAAGCCTCCGCACGTTGGCTCATGTCCTTCAGAAAATTTTGTAGAATTAACTTTCTCTTTGATAGAAAAGAAGTATAATTCCAAAGTTGTGTTGTTTGGTCTCTTGCTCTTTGGTCTAATCTAACCTAAAAATGTCTTTGCATCAGTGGACTGTATTTTCGATTTTGCAGATTGTCGATCACTGTTAAGTCATGTAAGCTAGACTTGTATTAGTTTCTCCATAATATTTAGTGACTCCTTTTTTAATATGTCTTGTTGTTTTGTCTGCTAGGTTGTATATGAACATTTAAAGATGGCTGCACATGACAAACAAAAACTTCTTTAGAACTGTATTAGGGAGAACTGGCTAAGATAGCATGAGCATCTTCCATGATGAATCTCCAGTTGGGAAAAAGGGTTACTTGTATAAGTTTAGAAACATATTCAGAATAATCCAAGGGGAAACTGGTTCACATAGTATGACAGAGTCCAATGAGGAAGCTCTGGTTAAGAAATATTGTTATTTATACACATCAGTTGGACTTCTTGGAAACAAATATCATATTTTCTGTGCTGTCGTCTGAATCATATGCAATTGGTGTTTGGATCATAGTTCATGTTGATGGCTCTTGCCAATGGATGATTGAATGTTTGCTTAAAAATGTTGTTACATTGGGATGAAGTTGTTATTGTGCTATGATGTTTGCTTGTCTTTGTTCTGGTAGTAGTTTGATCTTCTTACAGCAACAGCAAATATCACTTTCATATAAAGCGATAGTTTTAACTATTGGTTTGTCATCATCAATGTATTTCCTGAATCATTTAATATAAACATATCAAATAGGGGTGAGGACACTTGTCACTTTGTTTTCCATGTAAATTTTTCTTATGAAGTCAGAGTATCTATTCCTCTTCTTTCATTGGGCACAGTTTGTTGCTTGTGTAAATCAAAAACTTATGTTCACTGCATTGCTATAATGTCTATGGCATCAACTGGAATCTTAATGTCCATACCAAGGATTGTCATACTGTAGGGCATATTAATGTCTGTTTGTCATGTTAGATCAGCATGATTATATGCAAGCCAACACATGCCAAAAATTAGCCAAGTCAGCACATAGGATGTTTCTCCCTGATTTAACATAGTGCACATTAGTACCTATATTTTTGAGTTAATGTCGACATTCTTAGGTTGACTGAAGGGGCAATCTTGTGTGCTGATGGGCAAAAGATGGTGAGGGAGGCCCATCTCTTATCTAGATTATAGATTGAATTATTCAGAAAAACTTTTTTATTGACTTACTCCTGTGTTTTTAACTCTTCGGTTACAGTTTTCTTGCTTGGTCTACAGAATCAGCTAAAACATTAACTACTTAGCCCTTCAATATTCCAGAATTTCTAACTAATCTGTGCTCTCGGTTTAGATTCATGGAACTCTTGTAAACATTGTATATTCTTCATGGAACTCTTATAAACATTGTATATTCTTGTAAGCTGACTCGGGCACTCCTTTGTATGTGGTTCATTTATTTGACAACTGTCTAGGATCCCTCCCTTTTCATGTACTTAACAGAAGAACATAGTAGTGTTAGTGAATGAAGAGACCTTTTAGATCACATTATTCTTGTAATTGTCAACTTATAATAAGTGGTACCGTATTTTCTTTTTCCTATTTTGTCCTAAATAACAACTGTCTCATCTTGTTCTAGAAAGAATCTCTGTATGGTAATATGCACTTAATTTTCCTGAATGAATGTTAATTCGGAACCTTCATATCGGTGATACTCTTTGTCAATCATAGTTGCCACTTCTCTAATTGGAAAATGCATCTGTTCTTCATCTTCTTACTCGGGTTTTTACTTTTTTATTATTGTAGTCACCTGAGATCAGTTCAATCAATGTAATTGTTCAACTACTATGATTGTCAGCCAGACAGCAGCTATGTCATCTTCAGCAAGTTTTTCCAGCTTCAAGGTGAGGAATGTCCATCATCAGTTTCTGATGTGTGCAAGTATATTCGCCAAGCTGAAGATAGTCTGTTCAGTTACGTCTTTGTCAATCTTGACATACTTTGTGATTATAACAATAACAACAAAGCCGTAAATCCTAATTATTTGGGATCGACAAGATTTGATATTTAAATAGTGCAAGATTTGATGACCAAAGTAGGGATTTTATCATTTATTTTGTTTAAAGCAGATTGTCATTAGATATTTTTAGCATTTATTTTCTGGTGGTGCATCAGGTAGCCGTCTGCATCAACAGCACATCCACCCAACCTTATTGAATTTTTATGTTCATTTATTTTCTACAACAACATTTATTTTGCACTCTGCATCAACAGCACATCCACCCACCTTGTTGAATTTTATCTTCATTTATTTTGTTCAACATCATCTGGTTTACTCTGGTTGTTCATTTTTTCTTTTTTTCCCATAATCATCAGTATCATGATCTACACCGAATTACCTTGTTGAATTATTTACACAAGTGTTGGGACAGTCTGCCAGATTGAGTAGGTCTGGTCTGTAAAATTTGCATAGGATTATGCCTTTCTGATTCATAAGCCCTTACAGTTCTGTAGTGTTTGCTTTGCATGCTGAACTATTGAAGGAAATCCTTGAACATTAGCTGTTAATATCTTCGTCACGTAAGTCTCAATTATTTGAAGTTGGTTATATATTTTTTATTGTTATTATATATATATATATATATATATATATATAATTAA